CGCTTAGACAAAACGGACTAGTAAAAATAGACGAGCTACAGAATGAATTAAACAAGAAAATTAGTATAACAAAATGTGTAAGTCACACAGAAATGAAACACCTATAGCCTATTATTTTTGTTAGTAAGAATAAAACCAATGCACAGCGCCTATTTTGTGAACTTTACGATTTAATTAAGAAGGGTTTCATTATGAGGACTAGAAGGTTATGTACATTACTTGGCAAAATAAGAAGTGTAAATAAATTTCTACCATAACTTAATCACCAATATGCTATCTACTTTCAGGGATGAACCTTTTTTATCTTCATTTTTACTCAATTAGATGATCGTGTAATAATAAAAAATGCGACATCATAATCATTCTTTTAAAAACAGATTTAGAATGTATAATGAAACATTATACGAATATTATTCCTTAAATATAAACTTATATTTTTATTGAATTCATGAACCGATTAATGTTAGAAAACCATTGAAAACCTGGAAGAATCGGACGATATTTTCATCCTAGTATGGCACTCACCAGAACTACCCATCTACGGTCCTGCACTCAGGCTTCGAACCCAGAACCTTTGGTCTTGCATGCAAACGCTTAACCCATAGACTACTAAGTCGGCATTCGATGGCGTTAATGTTTAACTTGATTCAATCCGCAGTGTTGAGTGACTATCTTCCACTGAATTTTGTGGGTAAATGCCTTTTTTAATAAATAAAATCTGAAAATTTTCCAAAGAATAAAATTTTTGAGTAAATTTATCCTTTTGAGATAATATATGATGCTGAGATCGGTTCAACTTCTATGAATCTTTCACTAATGTTCTATTACACAGTAAGAAATGGCTTTAAATTATACTGATCATATCATGAACCGCTTGTTTAAATTAATCCGTTATAGTTCCGAATACATTGCGGAAATCATCTAACTGCATCACGAAGCAATTACTAACTTGGGATCCTGAAGGGAACCGGAAAAGTGAAATGTTAAAGAACGTATTGCATTGGAAATTGGAAGTAGATATGAAAGAAATGAATAGCAACTGAAAACAACTTGAATGGACTGCTCAGAACATGGCTAGATAGAGAATTTTGGTGAGCGACCTATGCTCTCCTATGAGGAGTGACAGACGTTAGTAAGTTATAGCTCCAAAATGATTTTAAAATGAATTCAATTGAATAGAAAACAAATAATTTCATAGTTTATAAGATAATTCAAAACCAGTCTTTCCTTAACAAGTATCTTTTATCAACTTTTTTTATTCAATCTTTTCTCTTTGAAATAGTTCATAATAGAAATTAAGGTGGTTTCTTTTCAAAATTAACAATTTGTTTTAGAATAGAAAGGCAATAAAATTCAAATTGTTGTCCTCACTCTTTGTTAGATTTCAGTTCTCTATAGAGTTTTTCTCACATTTTCTTTAGTTCACTCACTAATTAGACCTACTTTTCTTAAAAAAAGTGTCATTATTGTTTTGGTCGCGTTAATAAAACTACCTATCTGTATGCGTTTTGTTAATGGATAAAGAAACATGTTTATCATTAAAGTTTAGAAACTAATAAGTTTATAAACAACTGAATCAAACGTTAGGAGGAAATTTGTTCAACTTTCAATTTGGTGTTCACCACATTAAAAGTTATCATGGGTTGATTGAAGTTAGACACTAACACAGTTGGATGTCAGCCAGCTCATTGATTTAGAGATTAAGCGTTTGCGTGCCAGACTGACAATCTTAAGTTCGAACCGCTAGCTCGTCTCATACCAGGACGAAGTGGTCATCTAGTGCTTCCAGATTTTCAATGGTAGTTTAATTTAGATAGACTCATGAATTCAACTAGTAAAATATTTTTAAAAAGTTGAACACCAATCATTTCATTTAATAAAATATGAATACAATATTCTACAAAGCACTCACAGTGATTTCAGTTGCATAGATGCATTCACGTTAAGTCTTCTCGCAGATCCTCAGTTTAAAAATTACCCTATACATTTTATGACACAAAAGTTATCCCTTTTTCTGAATCATATTGTCTGTCTTATATGTTCAATACTATTGACAGTGTTACTAATTCTATTAATTGTACTGATAATTTCATCTTATTGTGCTAACGTAGCAAGGCAACATATATAGCAGGTTCTACATTACTTATGACTGGATTTATTATAACAACTATTTAGCCAGATTTTTTATATGCCAGTATGTATCTTAGATAGTAATCGATAATTCTAGATGACTATGATATTGGATTTATACATTGCATTTGTTTATATATGTACCAAGCTTATATTTCCGAAGATATCAAAACATTTTTAAGCATTTAAATGAAATACATTTGTTCGGTAATCTCATTTATTGTCTTCCTATTATATACAATGATTATATATTATTTTTGATTGAAATCATGAGTCAATCGAAGCTAGACCACCATGGAAAACCTAGAAGCACTGGACAGCCGTTTCGTCTTGGTATGGGCCGTCCATTGCTTCCAGGTTTTCCATGGTGGTCTGGCTTCAATTGACTCATGATTTCAATCAAAAACTTAACAATCTCCACAACCTCTGAACTGATGATTATATAATACTCATTTGTTAATCGAAAGTTTTCTAGATATTTTGCTAAAGAGTTTATAGTTTATGTGAAAATTATTCATATATTCATTGTTTAATTTTTTTAACTTGCTAGAATTATATCGAAAGTATTCATTTTAGCATTCTATACTGCTACGTATTGTTTTAGGTAATGGTACGTACTAAATTCATTTGATATTGTGTTGTTTTGAACCTTCTCGTTGATGTTTAGGATTAAAGTTGATCAGTTTCTTATTGACATATGTGTATCATATGTGAATTGTCTCGACATGGCTTTAAGTCACAAGCAATGGGGTGACTATCAGAATTCAATAGCTAAATGGATAACGTGATGGCATTTGAAGTGAACGGTATTGGATTCGAGTTTTGGAGTAAACATTAACTCTGAGATACAAGTACAACTAGCCACAATCCATCTCTACTTATAATGACACATACTTATGTGTGCTTTTCGTTATATGTTAATATTCAGCAGAATATTGTGCAAATAATGGAAAATACTTCGATACTCCCGGGAAATAATTTTCTACTATCCAATATTTACTTAATCCAATAACTTTATGTATAATTAATTACATAACAAGAATATACATGCTTATCTGATAATAATTATCGAAAAAAAAAATCGTTTGTCTATATGCTGGTAAAAACATACTAACAACTAATATTAAAGATATGTCTAAGGATCTTGATAAGAGTGTGGCATATTGATAAGAATATAAAGTAGGATTTAGACAAACCACGTATTCAAATTATCATGGTTGTACGACGATTTTCTTACTTAGTCTTTTTATTTTAGTTAACTAATTAACTTATTCATTAAGAAATTAAGAAACAATACTATTAGTCATTAAATACAGTTGTCTTAATTACAAATGATGAATGGTGTAAAAACACACACTAGTGGATCTAAACTCTGTCAGATATTGAATCTTGAACTGTTGGTCTTCTTTCACAACAATGCTATCCATATATGATAACTTAAGTTTTTTCAAGAACCTAGTTTCAGTATGGGGGTTGTGGAGATTGTTAAGTTTTTGGTTGAGATCATGAATCAATTGATGTTAGACCACCGTTGGAAACCTGGAAGCACTGGACGGCCGTTTCGTCCTAGTATGGGACTCCTCAGCAGTGCGCATCCACGATCCCGCACCCCGCGGGATTCGAACCCAGGACCTAATGGCTTCGCGCCTGAGCACTTAACCATTAGACCACTGAGCCGGCATCCAGTGGTGTTAGTGTCTAACATCAACCAATTCACGAAATTGCGCGACCAACTTCCATTGTACTGAGGCAGATACCTGTCTCTACCCGACACGGATTAGCTCCACTGGTCACGACTTCTCACTAGAACTCCGAGAATTCCCTCACGAAGCTAGCGGGTAGAGACAGGTATCTGCCTCAGTACAATGGAAGTTGGTCGCGCAATTTCGTGAATTGGTTGATGTTAGACACTAACACCACTGGATGCCGGCTCAGTGGTCTAATGGTTAAGTGCTCAGGCGCGAAGCCATTAGGTCCTGGGTTCGAATCCCGCGGGGTGCGGGATCGTGGATGCGCACTGCTGAGGAGTCCCATACTAGGACGAAACGGCCGTCCAGTGCTTCCAGGTTTCCAACGGTGGTCTAACATCAATTGATTCATGATCTCAACCAAAAACCTAGTTTCAGTTGTTCCACAGTGTTTTTTTATTTATCAGTATAACAACTAATTTACAATGAAACAAAGCTTTAGTTTTAAGTATTCAGAAACAATATTTCAGCAAAATGCACTCGATATACATTTTTCCAAGTTCCTGGGTAGTGAGGACAACTTTGCTAGCTCTAACTTGGGCGGTTGAAGAGATTGGACTAACCCGCCACTCTGTTGTAAACCGAATTGACTAGGTTCAAATTTCGAGGCAACCTAAATTGAACATCAGTCATATATATATATGACTGAATACTTCAGTGAAATGAGAATATATTGCATTTGTACTATGCCTAATATTCAAATGTAATGGACATGAATTCTCATACTGAATAATCCAACTTAATGAGATGAATGGTACAAATTCTGGAAGTATAAATTGATAGCTTACGAAGAAATCCAAATTGTATTGTTCTGGTGTTACAGAATGAAAAAATTTATTCATACACTTCATAATTTACATTATGCATAAATTACACATCACTTCCACAGTATCAATAAAACCAAATGTCAAATCTCATACAGACTAAGATCGTCTGTGATGTACATGAAATTCTGCACTACACAGAACATTATTCAACAACACTATGGTTATAAAATCAAACAAATCAAATGCATTTAAACTATTCACAAACAGTCCATCTAACAAAACGATTAAACACCTAAGAAATATATTTAAAAATGTATAATATAATATATTACAAATAAAAACAAAGTAAACTCACTTGAACTCAATGTGATTTCTTCCAAGTCGGCTATTCTAGGAAGGAAATCTTTTAGATGAGTATATTCAAGCACAAGCGAATCACTGTCAATATATGGCACATCATTATCTTCGCATTCATAACTACTAAGCACTTCCTTATCATTATTTATGTTACCAGTTCTAATTTCATTTCTTGCTAACTGTCTCTCATTAATAGTGTTGTTAATACCATAGTTAGTTAGATTATTGTTAGTAATTTTACTTGAAGAATTATATTTATCTGTGGAATGTGAACAATCATCCTCCCAGCGATACGATTGATTCTGTAATTCTAGATCACGTATTCTTTGTATTACACTAGAATTGTTCTTATCGACATAGTTTGAATATGTTAAATTTTGATCATTGTAAATTTTTTTATTCTGTACATGAATATCATCTTGGCATGGATAACTATTATCATCGTTCTCTTCATCATCATCTAATTTGTCCTCATCCTCTTCATCATCACAACCATAATCATAAAAACTTCTTTTCTCTTCCATATCATCATTGTTTTGACAATAAATCCCTGTCGAATTATCCAGCTTAACATTACGACTCAAATATTGTGGAAAAAATCTCCTACGTGCCGGAGATAAATCATCATGATAAGAATTACTATTTGCCCCTCCATTTCTTATGTTTTTATCTGAACTAGAATCATCATTACTAATAGTCTGATTCAATACTCCTTGCGAATCTGATACAGAACAATTACTCTGTTGTCCATTTTTCACTTTTTCTAATATACTACTTAATTCAGCATCTGATTTTATAAGTAGATCACTCACTCCAACAACAGCTGGAGATCTTTGTAATGGACGAAATAAACTATTAATATTACCATTCAACTTTGCTTTTAAACTTTCCGAATAGTTTGACTGTTGTACAAGATTAGACGGTTTGCTAGAAAATTTCTCATTAGGTTGGGAATTTTTTACTGTATTCATTTCTAGATTCTGAAGGTTTTGGTCATCCAGTTTTTTAGGATTATCATTACTAAGTTTGCTATTTGTAGGGCACTTAAAATTTGTTGAGGATAGTTTAGACTCGTTTAACTCATGTTTATTCAAGACAAAAGGATTTTGTTGACAAGAATATGAAAACAATTTTGAATAGTCTATAGGCTTAAAATCAGGACTTTTAACATGATGATATGTTATCGGTTGATTATTGAATGTCATTTCATTTGAATTAAGTTTTTCTTCAAATAATATAGGTGGTAAACTGTCTGTTTTGTCTTTACATTTTTTATACTGATTACACAATGATGAGGATGACAACGTGCTAAAGTTTGTTTGAAGATGGCCTAATTTTGAGTGGATATCATTTTGCTCTCCCATGTAACATTTCTCAGATGGATTTTCAGGAGTAATAAAAATTGAATGATTAGAGTCATTGTTAGTCGATGGTAATGTATAGGAGAAGTCACGTGACGCTGTTTTAAATGTAGACATACTCGTATAATTGTTTGTCTGACTTAAAGGATAATTATTTAACTGTGAATTAGTATGTCTGTCTAGTAATCTAGAATGTTGTGTTTGATTAAGCGTGTTTGAATTATCATACAAACCTTTAACAGAGGATTGATGATCCATGGAATTTTTGGACAAACAACCAGTTAAATAGCTTCCATCTTGACTGATATGTGACGTAAATAACAATCTGTTATCATCATGTTTATTATCAGAATCTCGGGGGATGTTTGTCGATGTGTAGTTCGGGATTAGGGGTCTAATTGATTGACTATTGAAAGAAGAGTTATATCCAGTACATAATGGTTTCTGATTCATTGCGTTTTTATAGAAGTCTTTATGACAACCTTTTATAGCATCGTTACTTGTTGCTACCATCTTGGGCATAAATGGAAAGGACATCGAATTCTCTATAGATGAATCATTTGATGTAATATATGGTTTTTCATTAGAAACAGGATAATGTTTAATAAAACTTTGTGTAGACAAATTAGGTGTGAAACTAGAATCAACATCTTTCATTGGTTGAACGCACAGATTAGGAAACTGTGCTCGTGTTGAATTCTGTATTGAAGTTTTACATATGTTATTTGTATTGGATACAGAAACAAATGGATGGAATGTTGATGATAAATTTTGTGATGAATTCAATGGTTGTATAAATGAATCAACAGTGTTTTCAGTTATAAAATTATCTTTTATTAATTGACCTGATATGTTTTTTGTATTACCATTTGGAGTACATTTAAAATGACCACTTTCATATATAACACTATAATTGGGAATATTTCCTGTATCATTTAAATATTTGACATTTTCATCTAATTTATGATAATTCAAAGAAGATGTCATTATTGGTTGACTTGGTGTTAATGTCCAACATAATTGATTTTTGTCATAATCCGTTGATAATATTAATAATTCTTCATCAGTTATTTCATCATTCCATAAAGGTAAACTAAAATCTTTATGTGTCCTATTCATTTTATTCATAATAAATCCTTTTTGATTTTCTTTAAGCTCTTCATGTATTCTATCAAATCCTTGAATTTTACCATCATTATTACTATTATTCCTATTATTGTCATTATTATTATTACTATTACTATCAGTAGTATTAGTAGTATTAGTAGTAGTACTAGCAATTTTAAAATATTCATTTCTTATTATTGATGAATTAAGTTCATTTGATAATTGTTTCTGTAATTTATAATTATTTGAAAACGTTTTTCTATTATCCAATGTAACAGGCAAATTTATAGTCCAAAAATCACCATTACCATTATTAGTCTTTACATTATTATTATTATTATTATTATTATGATCCAATAATGGTTCATGTTGTTTAAGTTTAGAAAATGTATTATTCAATAAAGATTTATTTGATAATTTTGATAAAGAATTATTATTTATATAATTTTGTTCATTATTATCACTGATCATTATAGTGGCATAATTTGATGTTAAATCATTATCATTTATTTTTAATTCTGTATCCGTACAAAAACTAATTTGATCTATATCAATTAATTCATTATTAAATGTTCCATTTTCTGATGTTTCTAATTCACTTGTCTCTTCAGCAATTGTTTCTAAAAATGCATTACTATAAGATGCAATTAATGGTAATTCAATAAATTTATTATTATTATTATTAATTGATGACAACATTTCTGGTTTTGATGAATGAATATAATTTATGGTATTCACTTTATTGTCAGGAGTAGTAGTAGTAGTAGTAGCAACAATAGTAGTAACAGTTGTAGTAGCAGTAGTAGTTATTGTCGTTGTAGTAATATTGATATGTTTAGAAGTTTTATTATCGATCATATTATCATGATAAACATATTAGATTATTCATTCTTTTCTTTAGAATATTATCATTTTATACTTCCGGTTGAATAAAATTTTCTGATGATTTGTCAATTTACATGTAAAGCTAATGATGATATTCCAGATGATAATAAGAAATGTATTAAAATACATGTAAACAACATATTGGAAATAAATTTTCTTTACATCATATAATATTACTTTAAAATTTTCTTTTAATTTTCTTTTTTCTCTTTTTTTTCTTTCTCTCTTTTCTTCTCTCCTTTCTTCTCAATATTCTGACAGTCTTTTTTTATTGATTCAATAAAATATAATGAGAATACTTCATTATTCCATCAAAATCATTCATTATTAAATTTTTAAACTATCAATCCAAATATCAGTTTGCTTATCAATTAAATATCATGAATTTCATAATAGATTAAGAAATATAAATTTTATGGTGCATAACTTTCCCAGTTTTTTTCTTTGTAATGACCTTAGTTTATTCTGATTTTTTTCTGTTTTTTTTCTCTTTTTTTGGTGTTATTGTTAGTTTATTTCTATAATGATTGGGTGTGTTACTTCCTAAGACAAATAATGTTTACTGGTCTGTTATTATTTTATAATTGAAGAATAAGGGTTAAATTTTGTTTGGTTAAAAATTGGAAACAACCTATAAATATGAACATATAAACAGTAACACATTTCTGTATATCAATGTATATTGATATACACATATGTACAAGAACATACATACATAAATATATACACACACAAACAAACAAGCACACAATTATGGTCTAAATTATGTGTCTTTATAAGATTGAGGTTTTCTTAATGTTCTTGAAGTTCATTTATTATTATTGATGATGATGATTGCTGTATATCAAAAGACAAGTGTTTGTATCACGCTCACTAATTTATATGATACAAAAAAGTATGGAAAATTATTTTAATCTACAAAATAAGAAAAAACAAATTACAATGATAAGAACAACAACAACAACAACGCCAACACCAGTGTTTATGTACACGAAGTAAAATTAATTTATTTTAGGTCAATTGGGAATATATTCTTTATTGGATGGGTTTTTCTTAACAACAAAAAAAAGCAAATTCATTTTTATAATGGTTGTTTAAATCTTCCTATTGATGATTAGAATTGTAATTGATCAGTCACATGTTGGCATATGTGCATCGTGTATGGATTACCTCGACATTGTCTTAAATCACAAGTATTATAAGCAGAGATGGATGATGGTTAGTAGTGGATTCCAGAACGCGCTTAAAATGCTTGTGACTTAAGGCAAATATCAAGGTAATGCATACATAAGGCACATATGTCAACATATGACTGATTAATCGCAGTCCTAATCATCAATGGGAAGATTTGAAAAACCAATGCAAAAATGAATTAAAACTACACTTTATTTTCATAAGCAAGTGGCTATTTGGACTCAGTAGCTAAATGGATAACGTGATGGCGTTTGAGGTAAACAGTATTGGGTTCAAGACCTGGAATGAACATCAACTCCGGGATGAAGGTACATCCAGTTGATGAGTCCCAAATAGGACGAAACGCGCGTCCTGGATTCCTCTGCTTTCAAAAAAATAATGTTTAAACTTGATTATTCATGTCTTATTAATGAATTAACTGTACTGGGATAAAACAAAAATTCTGTAATTTTCTTGTATGTATTTTCATCACAAATGAATTCATAATTATAACAATAACTACTCATCAAGCTCATTCAATAAAAATCGCGAAATGATCAATGACTGAGAAATTAAGAAAATACTGATTGTATGTTCGATGAGTGAACAGGGAAATTATGTAGAAAGATATTTATGATAATATCTGATAAACTTGACATAATTTAGGGTTAAACTTAAATTAAAAGTTGAACAGGATTAGTTAAGAAAACTTTGTCACACATATTGGTTAAAAGCAATTATTATTTCTAAGAGCAAGCCCTCCAGCATACTTCCACTAAATAAATAGTCTTTGCTATGGTCTTATTTTAAACGTCATCTTATATTTTGATAATATGTACTATGCAAATTAAATAAGAAATAAATAGAAATTAGAATAATCTGACAATGAATTTTACACCTAACTGAAAGTTAGTTAACAATGAATGAGAACAAATATGCTATTCTAGTTTAGGATATTTCAACAAATCCCATTGTATATGTCCAATATGAGAAAGAACTCAGGGATTTCAAGTTTGATGAACTTAAAACACCACATAATAATGCATCTGAGTCGTAAACTTATCTTCAGATTTAATAAATGTATCATATATCTTCCAAAGTAACTGTTGATTTCTGCTTGATTCCTAATTTCCATAGGGCAATTGCGTGATTAATGATCCAATGTATTTTTCGCAACGTCATTAATCGAAAAATATAATCAATTTACAATGAAGTGGATAATAATACTACTGTGTATCAATAATATCTGAAAATATCTATAGTTATTAGTTAACTGAGTTAAGACAAAAACTTGGGACCTATAATATTCTAAATACATGGCTGAGTGAGACATTGATTCCCAAGAGAATTATATATTCTAGAATGAACATCATTTGGAATAGTGGATAGTTTAAAAGTCCATTCTACCTTACTAATTATTGAAAGCGACTTTCCATCACATATCAGTCAGTTACGTGAACTATGCTCAAATTGAATTAATGTACGTAAATCACTTAAATGAATAATAGAATTTCTTTATCTATGATATAAAACAAATCAAATGAAAATATACGTTCAATTCAGTAAACTCCATGAAAATTCAATCGTATATCCTTGCCTACTTCATTACAGTGAATCAACATGTGCTCAAATGTAAATTTATGGCATAATTATGCTAAAATCGGTAACCAGTTAATCACCTCAAAAACTATGTTGTCAATGAATTCGAATCTATGTGAACGACTATTTTAAAACAATTAAAGCTAACTTTTATTAATAAAAATGTTATAATATAGCACCTAATTAATATTAACGATATGATAACATTTAATGAAATCATATTTCTAGTTGAATAAAGTAGAAACTTCTTGAATGGTTCTAAATTCTAAAAATGCGGTTAGATCCCAGATTTGTTGACACTGATTCAGAAATCAATAAATTATTTGAAAAAAATTGAGCAAATAAGTATAACCTTATGATTGGAGGTATTCAGCAGGAAACCATCCACCTAGGATTTACTGCCGAGTTATTGTTCTAGTTACTGACCTCCTAAAGGACAAAGATACTTTGATCGATTGGTCATTCGGTAACAATCAAGGTTTAAGCACAGAAAATATAATATCAAATCGAAGTCTACGTGGCATCAAGTTATTTTAATTAGTGTTCACACTGCAGCAAGAATTCGGTTGGTACTTTGGATGGAAGAAACATGACACCATTCAGTGACCAAGGGAAATATACCACCTTTTCAAGAATAGACCTAAACTAAATTGTTGTATCTGTCGACTACTTCACTAACTTGGTTCTTCCTACTTCGAATAGTGAGTCGGATGACTCAAGTAAAAACGCTGAGACAGTGGATAAGGATTTATTTGGCAATCAAAATAAATCAAAATTAATGCACAAAAACATTTATTTTTATATGCTTTACACTTATTAATAATCAGATTTGTGTGCATTAAACAGAATAGAACTTGATACAATTGATGGAAAATTTACCTTATAAACATTAACCGTCTATGACCGACAGAAATATTGATATGATTACATCTTGAAATGCGACTACATCTCTTAGACCATTGTAAATGGAAATCGACATCGTATGTCAATCACACTCAAATCAATTAAGTCCTTGCTCGTCGCATTATACGAGAGAAAAATGGTGAATACGACACACTTGATGAATATGAAAACGTTGCGTTCAACTACAGCCGTCCTGAACGGTCAGTAAATTTTTATGTGTCGAATAAAATAAAAAATTCATTTGAGAATACTTTCAATAACTTGTAATTTTTGTTGCTGTAACTATCTGCTAAGTTTCAGTGTACTAACCAAAATAACTTTCATTCAATTCATTATCATTTTATGTGAACATAGTTCACAATTCAACCAAAACAATCAGTTTTTAAGCATACAACTCCCTTTTATAAAAATCAGTGGTCGAGAGTTAAACGTTTTCGTACGAAACCAATGGTCCCGGGCTTGAGTCCCACATGCGGGATCGTGGATGCGCCACCACTGAAGAATCTCATATTAAGACGAAACAGCCATTCAGGGTTTTCAAATTTTCAATGGCAATCTATCTTGTATCTAATCATAAATTCAACTATGAAAATCTAATTTAACATATTAAGGTTAAAACAAAACATTTCACGTGTAACGAAGCTCAAACTGAATCATAACTAGAAAGTTTATCTTTTTTTCTAAAAAACTTCAGAATTATTGGTTTGCTTTATGTTATTTTGAATTGTATAAGCTCCATTTAATATATTGGAGTCGTAGGGATGATGGTCTCGTTTTATTTGATACTAAGAACTAGACATTGATACATTGATATTATTGATTAATCAGTGTTTAATTAAATCATTATCATCTTCAAATGATAACTTCATCTTTTCAGTTCATTTCGTCCTATTTCCTGTAAAAATCTTGTTTTCTACAGAGTTTTATTATCAACACTTGGCAATACAATGAATTGATATTTAATTAAGGCTCAAATTCTACCATTGATAACTAATTTTAAGATGAATGTCCAGAAATTCTAGAATGTAAGCGACATCTACTGAAGTTAGCCATATAAGAAGACATCAAGCTTCCGACGACAATGTACAAGAACTCAGCAACATCGGAAGCTGATTACGCTTAACAGTGTGAGCCATTTGAGTTGAATACATAAATCTATAGATACTTCCCTAACTCAGTTGCCTAAAGTTTTTAAATTTGTTTCAATCAGTTCCGTAGATGATACCATTTTAATTAAACACTAATCTAATGAATTTAATGTTCTTGACAAAAAAACGGTAAGATAAATCAAAGTAAAACTTATATCGGAAGTGGTTTTGTGGAGATTTTAGTAATTTCAATAGTTGAAATCATGAGTCAATTGAAGCTAGACCACCCGCGGGAGGCGGGATCGTGGATGCGCACTGCTGAGGATTTCCATACTAGTACGAAACGGTCGTCCAGTTCTTCCATGTTTTCCATGGTGGTTTAGCTTCAATTGACTCATGATTTCAACCATTAAAACTTATATGTTAAACTCTAGGATTGTTAAAAAATATTTTAAAACATTAAATTACCAATGATGATAATGTTGATTCATGTATTACATAAACAGAATGTAATGCAAAATATCGAATCACAATATCCCATTGAAAACAATTTTCACCTAGTTTCAAATATTTACCAAATATTATCTAGATAACTAAATCAATAATTGACTAATGAAGAAAAGAAAATCTAATTAAGGATAAGATTGAAACTGATAATCTTATTATGTTACGTAACTAATTCACTATTAGTTTAAGCCACAAATATTAACTCTCAATGATATATGAACATAGAAATTTGTAATAGTTTGATTACTCAATCGTTTTTTTACTCAGTTAAATCCAATACAATTAGTATTAGAAAAGAACCGTTGGTAAGTTAAATAATTTAACATAATTTTAGCTGATAAAAAAATAGCGAACTATTCTAGGGTTTAATTTTATATATGCTTATGAATAGGCATTTTTAAATCTAAACTAAAGAAGGATACAACTAATTCTGATTATAATCATCACTAGTGATGGTCTCCAGGAGGTATTTCCTGAAGTTCTTACGA